AATCAAAATACTAAATTTTAAAAATTTAAATTCAAACACTATAAATATTTAATTTTAAAAATTTAAACCCTCACAGTATAAATGTTTAATTGTAAAATATTTAAATACTAACAATATATTTAGTTTGAGGGGAGGAAAGGGAGAGGAGAATTTTTTTTTTTATTTGATTGTCAAAAATATTAGAGGGAGTAGAGAAAACTTATTTACTTTGTTTTTTCCTAGATTTTTTCACTTATCCAAAATGAGGGGAGGAAGGGAGAAAAAATAGAAGGATCCATCCTCTTACCTCCCCTCTATTTTCCTTAAATCTAAACATATTATAACACTCTAAACATTTAATCTAAAAAATTATAAATTCTAACACTCTAAAATCTTAAATCTTAAAAAATCTGAACTTTAACATTTTAAATATTACATTTAAAAAAATCAAAATCTTAAAACTTTAAATACTAAATCTTAAAAAAATTTAAATCCTAACCATTTTTTTTGAACAAATTCACAAGGGATCGGATTCGAACCGTTGCCCTGAGGTGGGGGAATGTACTTATACATGGCTTGATATCACTGGATCCAAAAGCTCAAGTTTAAATCCTAACCATTTAAATTTTTATCCCTAAAAATATAAAATAAACCATAACACATTAAATATTAAATCTTAAAAAATCTAAATACAAATGTTTTAAATTAAAATAATTTTACTTAACTTTAAAAATTTAAATAATACCTTTTAAATTCAGGGCATAAAAATTATAATCCTATTAACTTGAGAATTTAGGATCAAACGGCCTTTCTTATCCACTTAAAGGAGCAGGGAATCAAACAGACCTAACATAGCCACGTCCGCTCGGCCTTCCGTCAGCATGGTTGTGCCTAAGGCCGAAACAGCATTATTATCCTTAAAAGGAAAAATGATTATTCTTGATCTCTCGATCCCTTTCCTCTTCCCGGGAATCTTATTTTACTTACCCTCCGTTTCTCGCTTCAGATGAAATCCCAGCCTCTGATTCTCGCTTCCGACGAAGATTCATCCTCATCCTCTCATTTTGATGGTGAGTTTCTTCCAAGAACCCTATGATGAGCAAGATAGACTGAGGGATTGATTGTAATAATTTCTTTAGGTAAAATTCCACTTTCTCTCTTACTGTACTCAAACCTTAGATACATACAGTACATATCTTCATGTTTATGTATCTGTAAGTTTTTAGTATGGTTTTGATATTTTGAACAAGTTATGCATAAGGGTGGAAAATCATGGATTAATATGGATGGATATATGCCAGTGGAAAAAGGGTTTTGAATGACTATTGCTTGGTTGGTTTGTATTAATTCTGTGTAATTAAAGTATGTAAGAAATGGTTCAAAAGTTGGAAAATGGTGAAAAGAACTACTTTTGAAGGTCTGGTGAAAGTAGAAAATTTAAGATATTATCAAGGGTTATAACTTATATGTAAAATTTTAAATCTTACTCAAATATGTCCGGCACTTCAGACCCTTATTGTGAATTTTGTTGGTGACAAATTAAGGTGAATATACAAATCCACCATGTTTATCTTATTGTAACTTTAGTTTTCAAGTTTGATTACTATATTTGAAATTTTGTGGGGAAATTTATGAACCTCAAGTCCCTTGAGGGCATGGTATTATGAATGCATTATTCTTGAATTTAGCTACCTGATATATTAGTCAATCTCAAGTTATGCTTGATTATGCTACTGGAAAGATTATAGATTGACCATATTCTTGAGAATGCATGACGGAAGTTTGATTAATGGAGATATATTTGTAATTGTTTAAACCTTTTTTTTTCTTTTTTTTGATGCACATTGTTTAAACCTTTTTGTTACAGGTAGAAATTCCATCTTTCAAACGAGATTCTATTGGATTTTGTTAGATTAGTTAATTTGGTTGGAAAGATTTCGGGTTCCTAGAATATTGAGATGAGTAAACTTGATTCATCATGAGTGGTCAAGTCATAGTTTGTTATCTCCTGAGACCGCAAAGGACTGATAAACAGTGGGATGTGTGAAATTTATATCATTAGAGTTTTTGTTTTAAAGGTGAGATTCATCAAAGCTTGCCACATCCTTGGTTAGTTACTTATGGACTTATAATTATGTTGTTTTGCTTAGATACTTCACTATATATTTTATGTACTACGTAAATATGTAATCATACCATGGTAGTAATAATATAATTTTATGCATGTATATAAAATTAATGAGTTTTTTTTATTCATAGCATATAAATAGTTTTTCTTTTTTGGTCAGCAACCTATAAATAGGTTAAAAATTTGTAGTCATTGGTAGGACATGTTAGTCACTACATGCGAACCATGCGTATATCATTTTTCTTTGTTCTTGACTTTGCTTTTCTATTTCTGATATATTTGTATGTTTTGATATGTATTGATCACCGATTGTATATGGTATGAGAGCTTATTTTCAAATACATAGCACCTTCTTGGGTAACAACTCCTCCAGTAGAAATAGATCATTTAACTATTCTCTTCTTTTCTATATATAAATATATATATATATATTTATACAGAATTTGTATGAAGTAGCACTCTATACATCTTTTTCACTGTTGGCATGAACTATGCAGGTCAGTTTTCCCAACTTGGAAACATTGATTATTTTCTACTTTGGAAAACATGGGAAGAAATGACAACCAATCCTCTTCCTCTAATGATGAGGAAAATCTTGCATCTGCGCAATGTGGATCAGGTTTGTGAAACCGGAAAACACTGAAGTTACTTTGATGCATCAAATTGAAGAATTTAGTATCATCTTTGGTATCTTTCCGTAGTTTGATAACTTTAGAGGTGCCAAGATCTCATGAATTAGAAAATTTAGTAACTCAATAGCTAACAGCATGGAACAACTCAAAAGAATGACCATAATTGGTTGCAAGAAGATAGAAGAAGTCATAGCATATGAGGACGAAGAAGTGGAGAATAAAATTGAATTTAAACAACAGAAGTCCCTTAGACTCTAATGATTACCAAGCCTCAAGAGTTTCTGCTCAAGGAATCACTCCATCAGTTTCCCATATATGAATGAATTGGTTGTAAAAGAATGCCCTAAATTGGAGATTTTCTCTGATGGTGAGACATACACTTCAGAGCTGGAAAAAAAGCTTAATGCAGATGACCTCAATGCCACCATAAAAACGCTTAATGCAGAAAAGGTATGTATAACTGCTTTTTATTGGTTTTTAATGTTTATATACTTCTCTGTTGAATTAATTTAAATCCAGTCTTAGTCCCTTTCTTTCCCTTGCTCACTCTCAGAGGGACACTTTGGAGGAGTTAGGGTATCTCCATTGGAATTTAGCTAACCTTTGGGCTCCACTATCCGCTGAAGGTATATGAGTGTCATCTTCAATTTGAAAGGCTTTTGATTCAGAGTGTATTGAAATCATAGCAGGTTTTATTCTCCTCCATTTCTAGTTTTCTGCTCTGCTAACATTTATTTTCCCATTGGTTTGGATGGTATCTGAGATACTGATTAAACATTCATGTAGTCATGTTTTTCTTTCGAATTTGTATTTTTTAGGTTTTATATTGTCATGCAAATCAATTCAAATCTTTCTTGTTTATTTTAACTTGGAATAATCTTGATATTCTGCTTGGCAGAGTAGGAAACTTTGATATTTTAGTCTTGCATTTTGTAGATGGTTTGTTATAGTTTGCAATTTAGTTTGATTTGATTGTACAATGATGCATTAACCTATAGATTGATTAATATTATGTTGTATACTCTTTGAAGTAGATTGCAATTAAAATTTATACCCAAAAATATCTTTTTCTTGTAGTCAAATTACATAAAAATTATACGTCTGGGTTACCCAATTCTATTGTGGTTTCTGCTTTGGTTAAAATACCAATTTGGTCCCTCAACTTTTAGATTTGTACCAAATCCAAATCCATCCTTAAACTTCAAAAAGTATCAATTTGGCCCCTCAACTTCAATTTTCATTTACCAATTTTTGTTGCTTCAGAAGTGTTAAGTGGCAATAAAATCAATAACCTGCAAATGAAAACATGCTTTTTTTAATGATGTAGCATTTTTTTGCCTTTCCAAAATTGGCATTTAATTATGTGACTGACAATGAAGTGAACTAATCATTTCTGGGTATGTGATTTATTGCCAGCATTAAATTATGTGACTGACAATGAAGTGAACTAATTTGGTCATTTATTTACATGTAGAACAATGAAACATACTGATATGGTAACTAAGAAAGAGTGGGTGGGTGAACATAATGAGAAAGGCCTTAATCATAATCTGACATTTAAATATTTGTGTTTATTTGGAAAATTTTGGTAGTGGCAATGCCATGTAATAATGAATTTGGTGGCACGGAATATATTATGGAATAAACGATAAGATTGTAGGAGCATGCTTATTGGCTGTTTAATTCTTTGAGAGCTAGTCCTTTGAAATGGGTACAGATGAAGGATGAACACTAGAGACAATATTCAGTGAATCAAGATTCAAATCACTGCAACCTGTTTTGAAATTGAAAATTCCTTGATGACTCCTTTGATTGATCATCACTACTGTGTTAATTGGAAGTCTATAAAACATGAGAAACCTTAAAAGGAAAGCAGTAAAAATGAAGAACCACTAGTGGACTTCAATGGCAACTTGTTTAAGAGGTCTAATTTGTTTGAGTTGATTGTTTCTTGGGAATACCGTGTTACTCTATTGCTTCT